GTGCAGTGCCCCGTGTCCAAGGATGGTACCCTGGATCCGGGGATGGTGCAGTGCCCCGTGTCCAAGGATGGTACCCTGGATCCGGGGATGGTGTCCTGGATCCGGGGACGGTGTCCGCTGTCCGGGGATGGTGCCCTGTGGCCAGGTGTGGTGCTCCGTGCCCAGCAGCCCCCGCAGCTCTGCAGAGTTGAGAGCCCGTCCCGGGCTCGGAGGGGGTCGGGGCCCTGTGGAGGCTCACGGAGGGTGGGCACACCGGGCCCAGCGCTGCCCCGGGACCCCGCCGGGCTGCTCCCGAACCGCTGGAGGGCGGCGGTGCCGCTCCGGGCGGGGGAAATCCCGCTCAGCAAAGATGTCGAACGGGGAAGGGCCATGGCATCACTGCAAATATCTGCGTGGTGCACAGGTTCGCTGTCTGCTCCGCAGCATTCCCTCCGTGCTGCGCTCCCTGATCCTTCTGGGAGAGCATGTGCTCCAAGTACGTTCTTGCTGCACTGTCTGAATCACCAGAAAGGCCCCCTGGTGTCAGTACCAGTGTGTTTTGTCCAGTAAATGCTTCCTTTGGCTGTTGCACACCGTTTGGGTGTCTGCTTGTAATGCTGTAGTCTTGATTTTTTTATCCTCTCCGTTTCCAAGCAAAAATATTTAAAGAGAATTACCATGGATGTAGTGCAGCCTGCAAGGAGACAGACAATATGGGAGCTTTGTACCCCACCTGATAAAATCAGATAAACTCTTTTGTGAGTGCATTCTCGAGTGACTTTTCCTGACAATGAGATGATCTCTTTCTAGGAAATCTGAAGTCCACTGGAGATAACAGATGTCAGCTCTGTAAATGCCCTTGTAAAACGATGTTTCAGTATTGTAGGTTTCTCACTTACTTCATTGTTTGTTGTGTGAATGGCTAATGCTTTTCAATTTCCTGGTGTGCTGCTTCAAGCATGCACATTTCTACAAAGTAGCATCTACTATGCTTTTATAATTTCTCAACCAGTTTCAAACATTTGTCTTTACATTTTTTTATATTTTGTTGCTGACTATGCTCTTAAAGACTGGCAAGACCTTTGTAGATAATCCATTAGATAAGGGAAAATGAGAAGATGGATACCTCTCAAAATACTAGGATTAGGAATAGACAGCTACTTTTAAATTGTTCTTTTTAATTGTCTTCTTCAAGATTTATATGGTGCATGCAACACCAACTCTGTTAAATTCTTTGTGGTTTAAGATTTCAGTTTTGAGAATCTGAGGCTACAGTGTTCCTGTGTTAGATTTGCACCCCAATTTCATGGTGGCATCTTGTTAAATATCTTCAGCCAATCTCAGCCAGCCACAATATCATTAACAGCTGGCAGTAGCTTAGTTTTGATGGCTAGGCAGTTGGCTGTGGAAAGCCAGCTTGCATAATCATATTTAATTTGCTGGTTTGTGCATATAGTAACATCATATTTGATCTTTTGGGGCCCCAGTAACAGGGAACTGCCCACTCAGAAAATGGACATGCTGCAAGAGGATTTACTGGCAGTCACTGGGAGAAGGAGGAGATGGGTGAGATATGGGGCATCAAAACTGAAGGTGCAGTATTGTGTGGATGAGCTGGAGGAGCAGCCTTGAGATCAAAATAGGATTTTATTTGCCAGGAAGGAGAATGCTTGGGTGGTGAGTAATCTGATGTCCTTGTTGAGGGAATAGGCTCTGGACAATAATAGTATCTTCAAGCTCTGCATTCTTGTAGCCCAAAGTCTACCAAGACCCTTGGAAGTTTGTTTTGTCAGCTGCTTCTCTGTGGCTTACAGCTTATTTAGGGCTTCAGAGGGGCAACTGGCTAGGGACAGGCATAGCAGCAGGAACTGGGCTTCTCTAGGATGGTTCCCACTGATTTAGCCAAGGTCATGCAGAAAGTCTACAGCAAAGCCAGGAATTAAATCCAGAAGCCCATTACCTAAACTCCAACTTCATCTTGCTGCCTCTCTTCCGCTTGTTCTGGTAACATTCAGAGACAGAACATGGCTGAGACCACTTACCTAGTTTCTGTGAATAAATTGTGTTTGAACGATAGTTCAAGAAAGAAAAATGCACCAATGTCAAATAGGTCCAACAGAAAACTTTTTTCTTGTTCCTAAGGAAATCAGCTTTGTTCAGTGTAGCAGCAGTTTTCCATCTGCTCAAACTACGGAAATTGCCCAAAAAAGTCTGTTTGCTGGATGTATGAGAGGCCAGAGCCTGTGGCTGCAAGCAGAAGGCTGCAGCAGTAGCTATTGACCACATGGTGGCTTATTTGGCAAAGAAAATCCACAAGTGGCCAGGACTGCTTCAGCTGTCCCAGGGACTGGTGAAGTAGTCTGGAAGCCATTTGGAAGCCACTGTACACTGCAGGAATAGACAACGCAGCTCCAAACATGTGAAATGGAGGCGGTGCTTGGAAATAGTTGCAGTTATTGGTAAATTGGGAGTGACCCAGGAAGAAGCTGTTCCAATAATGGTAGAAAATCAAATGTACCAGTGGCCTTACTGGCAGTAATGTAATAAGCCTAATGGAAAGTGACTCTGCTTTAATGTGATTTCCACTGAGGGATGGCTGAATAATGATATCTCTTATATCTTTAATTATTCTTAACACCTGTGCCCAATCAATGGTAACAGCTTTTAGGAGCTTCTGGACTATGAGAAACTTTATGCCTAAAACCCAGAGACTCAGGTATATCAATGTGTGTCTGTGTTTGTGCATATGTAATTATAGAAAACCTTTTTTATCATGATGCATAATTTAAAATCAGGTGTGCTACTGAAGAAATGAAGTAAAAAGTTTCATCTTCCACATAACTTTGTTGTCTAGAGTGGACACACTGAGTGGGACACACAGATTTGCAGGAGAAATGTAAACCAGAATGCTGTTCTCTATAGTGTGAAATAACTGGAGCTCACACCACAGATAAGATACAGCGGCACTGTTTATAGGGAGCACTGTGCCTCTGCCACAACTTGAGCTGAACCCTCTCATCCTGTGGATTTCCTGTGCCCTACTTGAAAATTAAAATTCTCATCTGTGAGCTTAAGCTACAGAATTTATGGAGAAGCAAACTTTTCCATGATGTTCCCTCAGTCACCATGCTGAGAGACAGGTTAGCTGTTTGCTAACATCAGTGATTTCAGTGGAATTAAATCAGTCCCTAAAGTGTAGTGTTTGGTTCAGTTTCACTCAGTGTTTTATTTTGTCATACAGTGTCCCCCTGGCTGGACGTGATCTGTCCATGTCCTTGCTCAGAAGTGGTGCACAGCAGCTCCCTTCATGCCATCTTGTGTGTGCTCTAAATGGATGGGTACTTGGTCTTCTCAGGTCAAAACCCACAAGTTCATGCCTTTTGCAAAACTGGTAATTTGAGAAAGTGAGCTGTTTACATTAATAATGAAGTTCTCTCTCCCATGGCGATTATTTTGCCAAATAAGTTTTTGGAGTTCTGTGTGGAAAAATGTCAACTATTGAGCAAATATCAGCTTCAAGTCCAGCCAGTTCATGAGAACTTGCATTTGGTGCCACACAACAGGTGAAAAGAGCAAATGTTGCCTATGGCCTTACCTTCTGGGGGTGTCTTTCTGTAGATTCTCAATTTCCCTTGTAGCACTGGATTTTTGTAACTACCCTTTGGCTGCTAGGGAATATGATGGCTCTAGACCTTTGCCTTAATGAAGTGCCAGCAGTGATTTTGTGGGTCATTCCAAGGACAGCTTTCACGTGTGTATATTTACTGAGTTCTCCTCTTTGGAATTCTTTCACACTCACCTCTGGTGTTACATGAAATGAACCAGGGAAAGTCAGTTTGAGTTGTCCATTTTGTAATTTGTTTGAAAGGTTCTGTGTGTACAGGTCATGCCTGGGGCAGTGCATTGTGTGCACAGGGAGGTTCTCTGTTCTCCTGTTCTGTCTGCCTCTCCCACTGTGTGCACACCTCCTTTATTCTCCTATTTCTAGCACTCCTGAATCCAACACTCCCTCTTGCTGGGTCACCAGGATGTGCCAGTCCCTTCCCTGGCTCATGGAGGAGCTCTGTGCTTCCTCTCCCTTACAGTCTCTCTGCATTCCTCCATGGCCCATTTCCCTCATCCCATAGTCCCTGTTCTGTTCTTCCCATGCGGGGACTCTGTGTGCCCTGGGATTTTCCTCTGTTATGGGGAAGGAGTCGTTTGATGCATTGACCATTACAGCTATGGCAGGGACAAGTGTTAAACTGTGGGATCCAGTGGGCACAATATAATCAGCAGTTTTCCTCTTTGTCTGATTCCTCAGTAAAAGTGATAGCCTTCAGCTTATCAACATCTAAAATATTGTTTAATTAGACTCAGCACTCAAAAGTGTCTGCACTTAAGGCAAAGAGAGGCTTGAACCATTTGAGATATAGACATATGTGCTTTTTCTTTGGATATGAAGTTGGTTTAAGAATTTATTATCTTTGGCCTCTTGTTTCTTCCCCTTCCAATGAGCCTTAGCTGTCTGTGGGACCATATTATAAAACAGATTGGCAAAATCTTGAATAAAGAAACACATTACAAAGAAAATGTACCAAGTAGGTATGCCAAAATCTTGCTTTGTTTATCTTGTTCAATCCTAGTTTTCATGTTTTCCACAGACTGTAAAAATCTCCTGGAAATGAGGTTATATTTCCAGGTGAGATTGATATTACTGTATTTCACAGTAACAGTCTTATTATTCAATATACAGAGTATTGCTGCTTGACTAAGTTCCCGTGGCTGCAGATACCCAGATGGGCACAGGTCAAACACTGCTGACAGTCAGTCCTGATTTGCACAGTCACAACTGAGAGGAGAATCGGGCTGAAGGGTTGCCCAAGGATGTTCCTGAGCTGTAGGAGGCTTGGCTGGGAGCTGTCAGAGGGACGTGTGGCAGCTGTGCTGGATTGCAGAGGTTTCTCTCCTAATGGCAGGTCCGAGTGGCCTTTGTAGCAAAGGCTCCTCAGGGGATACAAGCATCCACATGTGCTAAATTGATTGACTTGCCTTAATTTCAAGTGTTCTCATATGGAACTTCTCCCAGCAGTTTTGTTGGCATTATTTTAAAAAACAGCTTTGCAGTTGCAAAAGAGCCGGATTCTGCAGTGCTGGATTTATAGTGCTATAGCCTCTGCAGACTTTTGTTGCCTTGGGCTTAAACCATTTTCATTTAGAGAATTAATGCAAATGTTACTGGCCCAGAGGCATGCCTTGAGAAATCATGAGGGTGGCTTAAAAATCAATTTTTCACACAAAATACATTTGGGATTTTTTTTCTTTCACCTCTGGTTTTTGAAGCAATATTATGCTCTGTGACATGGAATGATGAGAAACCTCTGTTAGTTTCATGAATCTGGATGAGCGAGTTGATACCTTTAAAACCAGAATAGAGCATGGAACTTTTTCTCTCTGACAGTAACATCGCAGTTATTTGGTTTCTTTAAGCAGTGTATAAAGCTCAGATATTGTTCT